GTACAGATGTGATACTTGAAGCAGCCTAGTACAGATGTGATACTTGATGCAGTCTAGTACAGATGTGATACTTGAAGCAGCCTAGTACAGATGTGGTACTTGAAGCAGCCTAATGCAGATGTGATGCTTGTGACAGTGTAGTCGTGCTGGAGTTCTAGCTCAAAGCTGCATCGTGAGCAGAGCAGGGTTGTCATTCTTTTTTCAGAGGTTTCAGACAAGGTGGTGGTAGCAGTATTTTGGGATGCTAGAAACACTATAGGTCATAGTCTTCTCATATTCAGACTTTGAATTTGGACAGGAAAGTCAAAACAGCAGTTTTTTTTTTAAAACAGCACAAATGCCAGAGTAATCGTTGTTTTTCTCTGCTCCAGATAAACCAGATGCAATGTTATATTTTGTGTCTTTGCTGTGCTTTTAAAGCAAATAGTAGTTACCAAGGCGACTTCTAAACACACTATAACGGGATGATCTTAAATATCTTATTGTTTTGAAAGAAATAATTTATGACTCCATACTACTTGGTTAGTTAGTAGATTTAAAACTCAGCGAAACATTTTCACATCTGGTAGGTAGTTTACTACATAAAACAATGGACAAAGAATATTTTACATTAAAACTATACTTGGTTGGCCATATTGCAACATCTTTTTTCAAATTGTAGAAACACTTACTTATATTTATGCTTTCTTCTTCTTATATCGGTCAGATAGAATTATTGTTTAAACCCAAATCTAGACACTCCATACAGATAAATATGATTTCCTGACATTTTGGCTGTAACATGAAATTATTGAAGAAATGTAAAATTGACTTTTCTTTAGAATATGTAAAAAAATCAAAGGTACTTATTCTCCAGGATATCAGACATTAATGTGCTTAATATTTAAACTTAATTATATTTCATGTTGTTAGCAATAAATTTAAATTTTACTTATGCATGCCATTGTCTGTTGGTCACTCTTCCTCTTCTGTGTGACCATTTAATTAAAGTTTTCATTTGGACTAAAGAGAACCTAAGAAGGCAGCACAATCAGCAGACACAACAAGAACACTCTTAACTTTTTTATTTATTTGTTTGTTTGTTTATGCAGCTTCTGCTCTCAGGAAGCCCTTCCCGTGACCTTCCAGGCCTGTGTGGCTCCCAAAGACTGTGATGTGACCGAGTGGTCCGAATGGTCAGCTTGTTCCAAAGACTGCTACGACCCCAATGGACCCAAGGGGGAGCGCAGTCGCACCAGAGGAGTGAGCCAGTTTCCTATTGGTGGAGGAAAAGATTGCCCAGAGTTAGAGGAGAGGGAAGCATGCAGCCCCTTGGGGGATGCAGTCCCAGCATGCATTGTGTGAGTATCAAACAAAGCTGCTAGCAGTAGACTAACCTTGTTGTAATGGTTACTTTGAGCGTAGCCATCAAAGTATCATTTGAAAATAAAACTTTTTGAGACAAGTTCTGCTTGCATACCCATTTTAGTTTTCCAACATTGTTAAACCACATCACAAAACTGTTCCTGTACATGGTGGGCCGCACGATGGCACAAATGGTAGAGCTGCTGCCTCTCAGCGAGCAGGTTGCCCTGGTTCAAATCCTGGTTCTGGGACATTTCTGAGTGGAGTTTGCATGTTCACTCTGTGCATACAGGTTTTCTCTGGGTACTCCGGTTTCCTCCCACAGACCAAAAACATGCATGTTAGGTTGATTGGCGACTCTAAATTGTCCCTACCTCTCGCACACTGAAAGCTGGATATGGGCACCAGTGACCCCTGCGACCTAAAAAAGGAAGAAGCAGGTAAAATAATGGATGGATGGAAAAATAATTTCTTTCTTGCGCACAAGTCTGGAACAATGTAGCAGATTTTAATGTCATCTTGTCTCTTGGACAGTTTGTCCTGATTGACTAACCAGAGAAAACTATAGACGCTTTGTATTTTGTAAAGCTGCTTCCTGGACTGCAGGAGCAAAATCCTCAGTCTACAGAAGTGGTTAGAAGTTTATGTCCACTCATCAGGGGCATGAATTGTATATTAGTTTCAGGCTGGTAAAGATTATTTTCAATTGCTCTTTTTCCAGGGTTAGATGAATGATTATACTACACAAAACTTCAACAATTAAAACAAAACAAAACAATTGGATGCTCACTTTTTAATCAACTGTGGAAATTCTGTGACTTGCAGACTCAGATATACAGTATAGTATTTTGTAGGTAAATCTATATACTTGAATAAGATGTGCTCAAGGTTTTAGAAAACATTAACAAACGTGAATAGAGCTGATTTTTTTTGTTTATCCTCAAACACAATTACACATTTTAAATGTCCTGATGCATCTTCAATAATCCATGTAGTAAAATCTAACAAAATTGAGTCAGATCATCTGGACGGATTATTTTTTTGTTGAAAACGATAAAGAAGAATCCTTCTAGAGGACCTGACTCAACCTTATTAGATACACTAAAAATTTTCTGCTATTTTTATAGCTGTAGAAACAAACCTGCATTCAGGCCTTTTATTTGTTAAATAAATTAATCCGACAATATTGGCACAAATAATTAATATATGATGCACCTAAAAAAAATGTATTATCTCATAATTGTATAGGTTCATGGCAGCTCAATCAGTCTTGCCAATAGGTAAACCTTTGCATTCTATGTTCCACCAAATATAATGTACTTGAAGTCTAATCCACAAACAGTTTCACACCAATTCATGCTCCCTTGCATGTGATCAAAACATCTCTCATGTGTTAAAGCTCAATAAAGACTAACAAGAAGTGAAGCTCTCTTAAAATTGAAAACAAAGGCCATTTGCCTTGAACTGAACTTTTACTGGAGGCCACTCTACTCACTCCTGAGAGCCTGTTTATCACTGTTCATTAAAAATAATTCAAAACCTTTAGAAGTTTGTTGTAGTGATATAAATCCATTCTTTAAATAGACAAACTAAAAGCATCAACTTTGATTCATTCAGTAAGAACTTGTTTTATTTATTCCTCCTTTACCTACATCAGGACATTGACGTTGAGGGGCATTGGGTGTGGAACCACTGGACTGAGGAGCAGCTTCTACCCTGAGGCTGTTAGACTCATGAGTCTCTGACTAGAATAATCACTGTGAAGGACCATATCGTGTTGCTGCTGATCTGTTTCGTGTTGCTGCTGATCTGTTTCAATGTTGGTGTGTTCGTGCGTGCACATCTGCTCGTGGACTCATGTTCATGTTTGTGCTGATGTTCAATGTTTTTTTGTGTTATGAGTGCTTAGTGTATATTTGGTTGATGTTTTTCTTAGTTCATATCTTAGATGTTATTACTGTTTTTCTTATACATTTTATTGTTGGATGTAACTGGGACCTTGTGAACATAATTTCGCTCCACCACATGTACCACATGAGGTGCGAACGACAATAAAGAAACTCTGACTCTGATCAGTGGCTGTTCATCCTTGATCATTTTCAATGATTCAGGATTTCCTGTGGGATCAATAAAGTACTTATCCTATCTCCATCCATCCATCCATCCATACATCCATGCATCCATGCATCCATGCATACATGCATACATGCATACATGCATACATGCATACATGCATACATACATACATACATACATACATACATACATACATACATACAT